AATCATGAGAAAAAAAAAAAAAAACATCAGCTGAACCCTAATAGGACACAGTCCTCAAAATAACTGACCAATACTTGTCAAAACTGTCAAGGTTAGCTGGGGATGTAGCTTAGTGGTAGAGGACTTGCCTAGCATGCATGAGGCCCTGGCTTCAATCCCCAGCACCAAAAAATAGATAGAAAAAAGAAGGAAAAGAAAGAGCATAAAATAAAAACCTGTCAAGGCCATTGAAAACAAGGAAAGACTGAGAAACTGTCATTGTCAGGAGAAACCCAAGGAGACATGACAGCCCCACATGGTATACTAGATAGGATCCTACAACAGAAAAAAAAAAAAAAAAAGTAAAAACTAAGGAAATATGAATAAAATGTGGACTTAGGTTAAGAGAGTATTATCAATGTAGTTCATAACTGCAACAAATACATCATGCTGATGGAGGGTGCTAACGGCAGTGGGAGTGGGGTGTAGGACGGATGGCAACTCTTTGATATTCTCAGCTTTCCTATAAATCTGAAACCATTCTAAATTTTTAGGACTTTTTTTTTTTTAAAGCCATTGAAACCACAGGATGTGGAGTGTGTGGGGAATTGATAGAGAGCTCAGCACTGATGACCTTGGGCAAGTCACATAGCCCTCCCTCAGCTTCCTCATAGGCAGGCAGATAAACAGGCACATTAGACAGCAGAAGTGCTAAGGAGGAAGACAGAGGAAGGAAAGGAGATAGGAAGCAAGAGGCTGATGCGGGAATTGGCAGCTTTGGTTGGTAATGGCTGGGGATACCAAGTGATTGAGCAGGAAACACTTGAGAAGAGGTTTTGGGGATTGGGGGAAGTGGAAGGGCCTGCCCTGGCGGCCTGGCTGGCTGCTAGAAGATCAGAGGCAGCACATGCTGCTGGAGTGAAGTGCCTGAGGGGAGAGTAGTGACAGGTCAGGGCAGAAGGGTAAGCATTCCCATGTGAGGACTTCCCAAAGCCACCAGAAATTTTTAAGCACAGCAACACGATCTGACTTAAAACACGATCTGGCTAAAGTTTCAGCAGGATCATTCTGAGAGCTGAGAGTACCCAGAAGGGTCAAGTGCACGAGTCCATCTCAACTCTACAAGAGACCACCTCTGAACAATTCAGCTGAGGTCGGGAGGGGATCCTGCAAGGATAGGGCAGCACATCTAGGCACCCCCAAAGCACCAGCTACAGGGGATAAGTCAACCTGTCCTGGCACAGACTCTTCACCCCATGGCCCTGCAAGCAAGAAGCCTCACCAACCAATGGATGCTTATAAATAAAGGGGTCTGTTTAGAAAGCCCACTAATCCCATTCCAACTGGAAGGAAGGAACACAAAGCATGGCCATCGGCTTTCCAAAGCCCCCAGCCTGGCCAACTGAAAATACCTGTGGAAAGGCCCCATCCCAGAAACCCAGCTCCACACGCCCTGTGAAAGGGACCCTATTATTTAAGCACAGTGAAATTGTCCCACATTACTGATATCTTAAAACTTCTCCGAATATTTCCATAATCAGGCTGAAGAAGAAAAAGTTGTTAGCAGGGCAGGCGGGTACAAAGGGCCTTTTGCCAAGCTACTTAGACATTTTTAATTCTCTGTTGCCTCAGTAGCTAAATAAGCATGGAGAACAAGCAAGAGAGGAATACTAATTAGAGCTAATTAGGCCCTGCCCTCTTCTGCCTCAATCCCCTTTATAAAAAGCACCCCCCATGACTCAAGGATGACGAAGTTAAAATGCAAACCCATAGGGTAAACAGCAGTCTACAAACCAAGCCCACTGTTTGCATATTTCATTGACTGTCCTGCCATTGCCAAGCCTGGGCCTGGTTACCTGAAGAGAGCAGCAAATCCAGCCAAATTCCAACAGCCCATCACAGACCAGCACTACGCCTGGGATGGGTGAGGGCAGAAGGGAAGGGCACTGCCAGTGTGAGTCTGCTAAATAAAATGAGGGGCTCTCTTAGTATTCAGAGCATTTTAATTTTCAGGGCATTCAGTAAAAGAAACATTTGATGGCTTAAAAATATAAACTATGATAGCAAACGTGACTGCAGTCATATAGCAGGACCAAGAGCACAGTCCTTCCTCTTAGAGAGCAAGGGTGGCATGGAAAAGCCAATGAGACCTTTCCCTGGTTTTGTGAGAGGACCACTTCTTAGGGTTCCATCTGGAGACTCTTGTGGCCATGGATAATAAGAACAGCAAAGATACCCCTGGTGGGGAGGGGGCCATTGTTATCAGCCTGACAGGAACTTGTTTAAAATGAGCCCTTTAACTCTGCTCAGTGACATGGACCTATAATCCCAGCTATTCCCCAGGCTAAGGCAGAAGGATACAAGTTCAAGGCCAGCTTTGGCAATTTAGTAAGGACCTGTCTCAAAAATTTTTAAAAAAATAAAATAAAAAGGGCTGGAATGGAAACCAGTGGTAGAGCACCCCTGTGTTCAGTCCCCAGTTCCACAAACAAACTAACAAAAAAAAGGGCCTAAGGTCAGTTTCCTGATGGATTTGTCCACTGGTCTAGGAACACCCAGGCAGGCAGGGCCCTGCAGGTCACCTCTTTCTTTCTCTGGGTGACTTTTTTGTTCAAATCATACTCCTGGTAGTAAGACAGAGGAGAAAGTACCTGCAGTGCTTAAAAGAAAAGAAAAAAAGAAGGAAGACCAAAATAGAAAGCTTGAAGTTGGCTCGGTAACATTGGGAAATGGAGAAATCACATGGGTGAACCAGTCCATCTAACCTTTTGGGGTCCCAGGGCACTAAGAGAGAGGTGGCGAGTGTTCTGCTTGCTCTGCTGCTGTTCTGCTGATCCCTGGGAGCTGACATCTCTAACAGGAAATGGCAGAAGACAAGCCTGTGGTTACAGAGATGGGCAATGGGAAAAAAGGAACCCTGAAGGCATTGGAAATAAACCACCAAGCTCGATGCTTTTTCCTTATGTTGAGGTCATGTAGGATAAAGGGCACTAGACCAAAAGCCATGGTCCCTGGTCCACTGCTCTCAAACTAAGGCAGGTGCAAAGTAGCCAGTGGCTTTGCCTCTTGGGACCCTCTGCAAAATGAAGATCCTTGTGAGGATGCACATGAACTTTGAAAATGGGGAATCACAATGCAAGTGGAAAATAATGCTTTTAAAAAATTATTTGCAACTGGAAATATTTGAGTTTTATAAGAATCACAGAATGTCAAACTGGACCGGAACTTGGATCTCCTTTAGCAGTTCCTGAACTTTTTAATTTTACAGAACACCAAGACTGAAAAACAAAAGGAAAAAAAAAAAGAAGCAGAAAAGGAGGAAATTAATAAGGGTTGCTGGATATTTTGTTTGCCAAAAAATTAAAAACTACCATCACTAAAATGTATTAAAGAAAAATTTCTACCAATAGATAAAGGGGCACAATTTGGGGCTGGGGTTGTGGCTCAGTGGTAGAACGCTCCCCTAGCATGGGTGAGGCACTGGGTTCGATCCTCAGCACCTCATAAAAATCAATGAATAAAAATAAAGGCATTGTGTCCACTTACAACTACAAAAAAAATTTTTTTAAAAGGGGGGTCACAATTTCAAATTAAAGAAAAGTCATCATGAAGCAAGGGATAGTTGACAAAGAGAAGCTCGTGCGTGCCACATCTTCCTCCTCTCTGCATTTCTCTAGGGTCCCATGAAAACACCAGGGATAGGTCCTGGTTGTCAGATGGGTGTTTGTACTCCAGTGATCTACTCCAAGCTATGGATTGAGTATTTTCACACAAAAGAAACCTTGCTACAGTATGAAGTTTGAATTAGGGACTGGACAAAGTTTTTGTTTGTTCAGACCCCTCCTCCACTCTCACACTGAAACCTCCACTGCCTTCATGTAAATGAGACACCGTAGGGGAAAACAGTCCTAACCTCGGGCAGCCAGGCAACCACTTGGCTCACACGAGCAGACCAAGTTTCTGGGGCTTGAAAGTGAATGGAGCACACCCACATGCAATTACGTGCTACGAGAAGGGAGAAAATGTGCAGCCTGCTCTGGGTTTGTTTGTTGATTTGGAGTAGGAGGAGGAGGAGATAGGCTAGCTCATCTGTCTGGCAGCCCACAGCGCCAAACAGAGCATCCTTCCACTAGGAGCCTTCTAAATGCCACTCCCAACTCCGAAAACTTAGAAGTAGCTTAAGAGTCGTCACACAGCCTCCAGCCAGCCCAGGGCAATGTCCGGAAAAGGCTACTTCAACAGCCCCTGATCCAGAATCCTCCATAGTTAGGGCCGTGTGAGCCTCGAAGTGTTTGTGAGTTGCGGGATAAAATCAAGCAGAAGGAATCAGATCGGGAAGTTCCGGTGGGGCAGTGGCTCGGGATGCCAGTCTCCCCTCGGGTTTGCAGTGACTTAGGGAGCTCAGGGGCATTACATCTTTATAGGAAGGCAGTTGGCCTAGGCGCAGTGAAACTTTGGGATTCGCTATCGGGTTCTGTGCACCCGCTGTTCCAGGAGACCAGTCCTCCAAAGTCAGCAGGGCGCCACGCTTTGGCTCTAGGGAAGACCCTACGACTCGCGCCTCCCGCTGCCCTTCACCTCCCCGGGACCAGGGCACCGGCTGCATTGCTCTGCGCCTCCCCGCCCGCCCCCGATCGGCCACAAGGGCCGCTTTGTGCCCACGAGTGGAGCGCCCAGGTCCCAAAGCAGAGCTGGCGGCGGCCCTCCCGCGCCCTGGGCGCGGGCGCTCGCGGGCTCGCTCGGTCAGCAGACCGGCCAGGCTGTTTACACAGGAAGGGAAGGCTCCTCCTCGGCCAGGGAAGGGACAGGAGATCGAGACGGCCCGGCAGGGCTGCAGGCACCGGATGACGCACGCATTTCAGAAGCGCCCGCGGGACTGTCCCGCGGCGGCTGGCCCACCTGAGAGTGCCCCGAGGGCACCCTCCACTGGGGCAACGCCCCCGCAGCGGCCCCTCGGAAACGCGGGCAGGCTCCGTGAGCGCCACAAAGTTTCTTTCCACTCAGTTGGAGGCGCGGCTTACCTGGGAGCGGCGGCACCAGCGCGCAAAGCCCGAGGAGGCAGGCGTACAGGGGCGCCGGGGCCCACGGCATGGTGGGGCGCCCGGCCTCAGCGGCGGCGCGGGCGACAAACTCCGCAGGGTCGCGTGGCGGGGGCCGCGGCGCGGAGGCCTAAGGCCAGGGGCCGCAGCCTCATGCCCCGCTCGCAGTTCGGACTCAAGTCGCCCGCAGCCGAGCGGGAGGAAGGGGCGGCTGCGCTGGCCCGCGCCCGGTCGCCACCATCCCTCCCGCAGCGCTCGCAACCGAGTCTCCCGGTCGCCGCTGTCCTAGATGGAAGGCCGGGACGCCCGGGTGTTGCGGCTCGGGACAGCCCGTGCGGGCTGCTCTGGGCAGGGGAGGGACTGGCTCCGCGCGGCGTCCGCGACTTGGGCTCCCGGACGCGCCCCGCGCTGAGGCTCCCCCGCGCGCCGGCACACTCTGCACTTCGCCTCCGCCCCTTCCCTTCCTCCCCGCCAGGCTCCACTTTCCTCCCCTCCTTTCTCCTCCCCTTCTCTCCCTGCCAGGCCCCCGCCCGACAGCCACACGGTCAGCTTACGGCCAGGCGGGGCGAGGCGGGGCGAGCTCCGGGCTGGACCAGCTCCGCCCAGCTAGGGGACCGACCCAGGACGCAAAGGCCCTCGGGCGCCCAGGTGGAAATCCCTTCCGACGCACTTGAAGAGTTCGGGGCTACTGAGTAGAGGGGCTAGCTCCGGCGCTTTAGCCAGGGAAGGGGGGTGGGTATGCACATTCCATTAGGCGAGCAGCGATTACTTGGGCCAAAGGCGGCTTTGGACTTAAAGAAGGAGAGCAGGTATGGCGCGAACCTGCCTTATCCTTCTCATCCTCCCAAAGCTGCACCTCCAACCCCGGCCTCGCCCCAGGTGCCGTGCCTGCAGCAGCAAAGTTAAGCTCTAGATGGGGGGGAAGGGGAACACGTGGGGCATGGAGGCACAGATGAAGGACTCCATTCAGTTATTTACACTTTAAATCCCCTTTCGAGGATTTGAGACTAGCCAATATGCCGCTAATCAGTTTTCGTTACTTTTGAGTTTATCAGTTTGGTCACTGGCGGTTTCAGTGACCAAACTGATAAACTCAAAAGGAATGCCTTATCATTTACATCTGCACCGGATCAGAAATTGCCAATAAGGGGCGCCGTGGGGGACTTCTCAGGAAGCTCATGCAAAGGATCCAATGGATTTATCAGGATCATGACGAATAGGTCAAGACTGGAATTGTTTATATCAAGAGAAGAAGTGTATTTATATAGAAGGAAGTAATAATAAGACACCTAGCACGGACACTGCTAACCAGGCACTGTGATAAATGCTATACTGTATTAACTCGTTAAATCCCCCACTACACCCCTGATATTACCCAGATAAAGAAACAGGCACAGAGGGGCAAACTTCCCTGAGGACGTGACAGCTGGAATTCCTTGTCCAAAAGTTCTGAATGGCTAGACTAAAAGCAGAAGCAATAAGGAGTAAAGAGCAAGGGGGGGGTCTCACCTTTGAAGGTCAGGAAACAGCTGGAACTAGCTGGAGAGACATGTAGAAAAGTGTCCTAACTGCCCAGCATGAGAAGCTTGGATCTTTATTTGAGCCCACCCTCACCTCCCGGACTAGCAAGGTGGTGTCCATTGCTGGAGTAAATAAAGGTATTTTTGTAGTGTGGTGTGTGGAGACAAAGATGAAACAGACCATAGCAGGCACCCCCAGTTTCACTGAAGGCCAGCATTTCATTCTTTTTTTTTTTAATTTTTATTGTTGGTTGTTCAAAACATTACATAGTTCTTGATATATCATATTTCACACATTTGATTCAAGTGGGTTATGAACTCCCATTTTTACCCCGTATACAGATTGCAGAATCACATCGGTTACACATCCACTGTTTTACATATTGCCATACTAGTGTCTGTTGTATTCTGCTGTCTTTCCTATCCTCTACTATCCCCCCTCCCCTCCCCTCCCCTCCCCTCCCATCTTCTCTCTCTACCCCCTCTACTGTAATTCATTTCTCCCCCTTGTTTTTTTTCCCTTTCCCCTCACTTCCTCTTGTATGTAATTTTGTATAACAATGAGGGTCTCCTTCCATTCCCATGCAGTTACCCTTCTCTCTCCCTTTCCCTCCCACCTCTTGTCCCTGTTTAATGTTAATCTTCTTCTCATGCTCTTCCTCCCTACTCTGTTCTTAGTTGCTCTCCTTATATCAAAGAAGACATTTGGCATTTGTTTTTTAGGGATTGGCTAGCTTCACTTAGCATAATCTGCTCTAATGCCATCCATTTCCCTGCAAATTCCATGATTTTGTCATTTTTTAGTGCAGAGTAATACTCCATTGTGTATAAATGCCACATTTTTTAATCCATTCATCTATTGAAGGGCATCTAGGTTGGTTCCACAGTCTAGCTATTGTGAATTGTGCTGCTATAAACATCGATGTAGCAATATCCCTGCAGTATGCTCTTTTTAGGTCTTAAATTCTTTTTTTTTTTTAAAGAGAGAGGGGGAGAGAGAGAGAGAGAATTCTTTTTTTTTAATATTTATTTTCTAGTTTTCGGCGGACACAACATCTTTGTTTATATGTGGTGCTGAGGATCGAACCCGGGCCGCACGCATGCCAGGCGAGCGCGCTACCACTTGAGCCACATCCCCAGCCCCTAGGTCTTAAATTCTTAAATCTCATACAAATATCATCGAGTGCTATTACATCCACTTTGAGGTAAAAGTCAAATTTGTCCTCGTTTTCCAGAAAATTAATGTTACAGAAGCTACCCCCAGATTACCTGCCCCTCAGAGCAGTGGCCTTGAGGCTACTCACCCCAGTTTGAGAAGCAATGATTATAAGTAATGAGAAGTTACTGAAAGAGTTTGAACTGAGAGACATCATGTGCCGAATTATTTAAAAATATTCAACTGGCAGGAATGTGTGGGGTGGATTAGATGGAAGGGGAGTCTGGTCCTGGAAACTGTGTAAACACTGCATTAATAAGTGCAGTAATAACTTGCATATGCCAAGCATTGTTTAAGTTTAGGCCCTGTACTGTCAGATCTTCTGGGCACTTCTCTACCCCAGACTGGGTGTTTCCTAACTGTTGAAATATCTCACTTTATCCCACATCCAACACAGACCACCATTTATCTTAATTACACCTGGAAGGTACTGTGATCCAACTTGTCCCTGCTGTCATTCTCACCTGCCCCCTCCCTGCCTCACCTGGTGCTTCCCAACCTGCCTAGACCTGACATAAGCCACTGAATCCTGAGTGATCCACACTCCATTATCTGAAAACAGGTATGGAGGAACCTGTTCTAATTCTGAGCTTCTGCTTTCTGTGCCTTTTTCCCTAAGAACCCCTCATTCTTTTAAATAAGCCTGAGAGCGGAGATGCCCTTCAGTACTTTATGTCCTCCCTCTCTGCAAGTTGACCTGTACTGATGACTCCCCTTCAGGCAGGGGACAGGCAATACTTCCCATAGCCACCGAAACACTATTCTTTGTGGTTACCTCAGGCACATTCCATGTCTGATCACTGCTGAGCTGCTGAGCTCAAGGGAGGCTGCTGGTTGGATCAGTTTGATTCTTAGGGTTGGAACAAGGAAAACGCGGAGAAAATTTATGCTTCTTATTGTTAGTTTTTAAATATGATTAATTTCTCTAGAATTAGCATATGATCCAACTACTCCAGTTCTTAGTGTGTATTCAAAAGAATTGAAGGCAGATTATGTACACACCAATTTTTGTAGCAGCATTATTCAGAATAGCCAAAGGGGAGAGATGACCCAAGAGTGTCCATGAATGGATGAATGGCTAAACAAAATGTATATACATACAACGGACTAGTATTCAGTCTTAAAAAGGAATGAAATTCTGACACATGCTACAAATGGATAAACCTTGAAAACATGCTAAGTATAATAAACTCAACCCAAAGGCACAAACATTATATGATGCTGCATATATACAATATCTAATATAGGCAATCTATCTATTGATAGAGACAGAAAGTACAACAGAAGAGAGAATGGAGTAACAGAGTTTCAATTGGGATCATGGAAAAGTTCTGAAAATGGATGGTGGTGATGGTTGCACAATGTGGAGACTGGACTTAGTAACACCAAGTGGTAAGCTTAAGGTCTGGGGGTACAGTTCAGCAGAGCACTTGCCAGCATGTGTAAGATCCTGAGTTTGGTCTCTAGTACCTCAAAAACAAATAAGTGGGGCACTTGAAATAGTTAAAATGGTAAATTTTATAATATGCATTTTATATATTTTTATATCATATTTTTTTCATCATTAAAAAAAACTTATGGCTGAGATGTAGCTCAGTAGTAGGACACTTACCTAGCATGCTCAAGGCCCTGGATCCCCCAAAACACAATAACAAAACAACACTTAAAATATCTGTTTAGGGGTTGGGGCTGTGGCTCAGCGGTGGAATGCTTGCCTAGTATGTGTGAGGCGCTGGGTTCGATCTTCAGCGCCACATAAAATTAAATAAATAAAATAAAGGTATTGTGTCCAACTACAACTAAAACAAAATTTTTTAAAAATATCAGATTAGTTAAAACTTTCCTACTTAATTATTGAGTTTTGTATCTTTTCTATAGTGAGTTGTCATAATGAGCAATTAGTTTATATAGCCCAGGTTAAATATTCTGATGCACTGTTGGATGTGGTGTTACATACCAGTGACTCAGGAGGCTGAGGCAAGAGGATAATAAGTTCAATGTCAGCCAGGGCAGCTTAGCAAGACCCTGTCTCAAAGTAAAATTTATAAAAGGTCTGGGGAGATGGGTATGGTGGTGCATGCCTATAATCCCAAGGTCTTAGAGGCTGAAGCAGGAGGATTGAAAGTTTAAGACTAGCCTCAGCATTTAGAAAGACCCTAAATAACTTAGTGAAACCCTATCTCAAAAAAAAAAAAAAAAAAATATATATATATATATATATATATATATATACATTTTTTAAAGAGAGAGAGAGAGAGAGAGAGAGAGAGAGAGAGAGAATTTTAATATTTATTTTAGTTTTCAGCGGACACAACATCTTTGTATGTGGTGCTGAGGATCGAACCCAGGCCGCACGAATGCCAGGTGGGCGGGCTACCGCTTGAGCCACATCCCCAGCCCTACATATATTAAAAAAAAAAAAAAATGCTGGGGATGTCGCTCTGTGGTTATGCACCCTTGGGTTCAAACACCAGTAACCCCTCTCCCTGTAAAAAAGGTCTGGGGATGTAGTTCAGTGGTAGAGTACTTGCCTGGATTCCACAAGACCCTGGGCCCAATCCCCAGTATTAAAAAAAAAAAAAAGATTCTGACATATATCTTCAGTTTAATATGTAAGAGAAAAAGTTGAAAGAGATAGAAATAATAATGCACAGTATTCATCCTAGTCTAGGTAATATTCTTAACTTACTCTTTTACTAGT